GCTCAGATGTAATAAAGACTATCTCGCTAATAATAATCCTCCACAAGCAAAAGCAAGTTTTAAGCCTAGATCTGCAGGAGGAGGATTAGAAATTAGAACATGCTCACATTCTTCAACAAAAGAATTAATCTGACTTGACTGGATCGAATTCACAATTCTAGAACAAATTCGGGACACATTAGACAATAAATTTAAATAAAATCCTTTACAATTAAAGGAAAAATTGAGATTTTCATTGATAAGAGTCAACTGAGTAAAAAATTAAAGGAAAAGAGCAAACATGATCGAGAAACTAAACTTCAATTTCCTCAATATAAAGAAAAAATTCTCAAAAACTTGGTTTTCTCCAATCCTCTCAGCAACCAAACAAACCTTTGACAATGATGGCATCAAAACAGCTAATCAGAGAAAAAAATGCAGTCTACTTAATCAAACAGAAAATGTGATATATTTAGAGACATCCACATCAGATCTTGAAGGAAAACATAAGAGAAAGGAAATCCCTAAGAGAGAGCAGTTTTACAGACCTAGAAGTCGAAGGATTGATGCAACAAACCCAACAAAGAGACAAGCCATGCAGAGTAACGTTGAATCCCTCTCTACATTGATATGTAATTTAGACAATAATTCTGACAGTTGGCACTTGCTACATGTTGAGAAGATGAACTCTGTCTTGCTTCAGAGATTTACCAGACAAAAATTAGTTAAAAGGAGATGGAACAGAAAAATTTGTCAGTAACATTTATATTCTACCAAGCAAGCATTCTAGAAACAAATCATAATTATCTAGACATGCACTTCTCTCCTCTTGTACAAATATATATATATATATATATATAAAACTTCAGAAGTTAGATTCTCATGCACTGACAAAACTATTAGGCAACTTCACTAAAACTGTGGAATTATCTAATCTAATAGACAGGGCAAGACTCAAATAAAGTATTTAAATAAAATACCAGTAAAGATGGTCGAACTTAAGCAAAATTTCATCTTGAAGGCAGAGTAATCACTTGTTTGAAAAGACAAAATTGTGCCCAAAGATATAAATTTCATACCTTCGTATGGTCATTTAAAAGGGACAAGGGTAGTTTCATCTCCTTCAAAGTAGCATTATAGGTAACTTGACATCTGATTTTGGAGCTCTCCACAGAAAAATTTGAGCTCTTGCTAATACCAACAACTTCAAATAGTGGATAGTGATTATTTTAAAGCAAACAAATCTTAACATGTCCCTGGTACATAGAGTGCCTTCACAAATATGCTTGATTAAAAAGAAACATGCTCATAAGAACCCTTTTTTTCCACATAACAATTGATCATTTGACGTGTCCACTTTGCTCCTAAGAGTGAAAATTGCAACATGGGACTGAGTGTCAAATATGATGTAATGGAACAATGCTTTTTGTCTAGTAGTGATCAAGTAGCTCCTTATCAGTCTGCCTACAGATGAATGTTAACCCATTAACATCCAAGAATGGAAGTAATTCTCTTTTGAAATAACAATAATTAAGTAGTAATTTGCTTTAACTAATCAGACATATATTCAGACCATGCAGCCATAAAATACAAGAAAATAATTTCTTTAAAAAAAGCCAAAAGAAAGGAAAAGGAGTGTACTTTGACTTGAATGCCAGTCCATCCTTGGTGATTCTGAGAAGATAAAGTAACAAGAAAAGCTGAAATGCCAGTCCATCTTGGTTGTTGACGAGCACAACGTTATTGAATGAAGTTTGAGAAGAGATGCAAATGCTGAAATGCATATTACAAGAAAAGCAAAGATGCAGGTGCACTAAAATATAAATAGCAAAGGAAATTAGATAGATCCTAATTAATTTCAAGTCTTTTTTGCACACTGTTTCAAACAAAAAATTACACACATAATAAGGAAACAAGCATTTCCAGTTTTCCACTTAGAATTTGACATATTGAAACACACAACACACACAGAAAAAGAAAAACAAAGATTATATTAAATTGAAAACCCAATAGCAACAGCAACTAGTGCATATGTGATTTCCTCCAACTTTCTTGTGGTTGCAGAGACGAATCCCAATAGCTGCCAATGGGGGAGAAAAGAATAGATGAGAGAGAGAGATTTATTAAGAATGGAAAACTCTTACTGAGTTGAATCAAAAATGGAAAATTGAAGATTAAAAGGCTTACATTTGCGGTGCGCCATACCACTGCTCAAATTGACACAAGGGTAAAAGGATGTCTTTTGCATTGGGATGGTCCCATTCCAATGATTCCCACCATTCTTTTGGTAATACCACAATTTCTTTGAGCGAAGAAGGATGAGATGATTGGGCATTATCAAGCAAGGGAAAATTCAGAGGAATCCTCTTTAGCTTCTCGCAGTGGGCAATCCTCAAACTCTGGATGGAATCACAAATCAACACACTTGAGTGACTGCAAATGCTCTTCAATGCCGGCAATCTTGTCAATTTCAAGCTTTGTAACTGGGGTAGAGTGACTTTTTCTTCTTCATGTGCCGATGACGATATCAGCTCCTCCATTTGCGAACAGCATTCAACCTCAATAGTCTCTAGAGATTGGAAGTAACGGAGCAGCCATCCAGATGAGAATACCTTCTTCAATTGATTACACTCAAAAATCCTAATTTCTTTAAGAGAGAAAAAGCTTGTGGGAGGTACAAGTGGCGATAAACCAAGACCTTCTTCATCAAACAAGCATTTCAGATTATTTAAATCGCGAAGGCATAGAGATTCAAGATTTGGAAGTGGGTTGAACCCTGACCAAAAAACACTCTCTATATTTTTGCATAGACAAATTATAATCTTCTTGATGGAATCACAAATCAAAGAACCGCTATAGATGGTCTTCAATTGGGGCAATTTGGTCAATTTCAACCCTTCTAAGTTGGGTAGAGTGACTTTTTCTCCTTCATGATCCGATGACGATATCAACTCCTCCATTTTCAAACACTTTCCAACCTTAATAGTCTGTAGAGATTGGAAGTAGCGGAGCAGCCATCCAGCTGAGAATACCTTCTTTAATTGATCACACCTATAAACCTTAATTTTTTTAAGAGAGAAAAAGCTTGTGGGAGGTACACGTGGTGATAAACCAAGACATTCTTCATCAAACACGTATTTCAGATTCAGTAAATGGGCAAGTGTTAGATATTCAAGATTTGGAAGTGGGTTGAACCCTGACCAGAAAACACTCTCTATATTGTAGCAACACCAAATTTCAATCTCCTTGATGGAATCACAAATCAAAACAGTACTAGAACCGCTGCAGATGCTCTTCAATCGGGGCAAAAAGAACAATGTCAAGCTTTGTAACTTGGGTAGAGTGACTTTTTCTCCTTCTTCAAATTCAGACCCTATTATCTCCTCCAGTTGCTTACAATTATTAACAGAAATAGTCTGTAGCTTCTGGAGATATCCCAACCACCTAACTGAGAATACCGTCTTTATTTTATCACATTCGCAAACACTAATATATTGAAGAGAGGAAAATCTGCCAGCTGGTAGCGGTGCTGACTCAGCAACTGCTCCTACGTCCCCAAACCCAAACACCATATTCAAGTTATGCAAACCACGAAGATCCAGCAACTCAAGGTTTTGAAGCTTCCCCCAATTTCCAATCGTCTCCCATTTATATTCTGTTTCAGCATCGGGATAAGCATTTACTAGTAAATGCTGAAGTTTGGAGAGATTTTGTAGCTGTTCATCAAGTGTTTCAGATAGTCTTCCACCAAGACCAAGATATTTTAGATTTGTTAACATGTTGAGGCCTTGGGGTAGTTCTTCAATTGGTGTCTTTAAAAGGTTCAACTTTTTCAAGCCTACAAGGTTGGATAAAGATGGTACCTCTCTTAAGGACCTACAATGCCCCAGCAATAATGTAGTAAGCTTCTCCAATTTGGAAATAGAACTCGGCAGCCTACTTAGCTCCTCATTCCAGGAAAGATCAAGAATCTTGAGCCCAAGCATATGCTCAAAAAAAGCTTCTGGAATTGTTGAAATCCTATTATGGGACAACAGTAAGGTTGTGAGCATAGGACACTTCGGAGACAGCATGCTTGAAGGAATTTCTGTTATGTGATTCCCCATTAAAGAAACCTTCAAAAGATCTTCTCTCCATTCATCCTCTTCTGGTAGCTTTTCCAAGCCAATGCCAGCTTTCACAAAAAATTGACTGATTTCCAGTGCCATTTCTCGGAGAAGATCATGCATACTCACACAATCTTCGTTGTCTCCAACCAACTCCAACAAGCAGTTGTCAACAAGCTTATCGAGTATACCATGACCCTTCAAATTCATTGCCTCCCTGGTTTTCCCTTCTTTATATATTAGCCCCTCCTCAATCCAATACTCAATTAACTCCTTTTTTGCGATTTCAGCATCTTCAGGATACAATGCACAGTATAGGAAAAACTCCTGGCATTGTGGTTCTAGGCATTCATAACTGAATTTCAAGCAATCAACAATGCTTTTAAATTGACTAAATTCAGAAAGTGCTGACTTCCAATTACGAGGAAGTAATTTCCCTCTCATTGATTTTGCCACTGTCACTATAGCAAGAGGTACTCCACCACATTTCTGCAAAATTTGCTCCAAAAATGGCTTTATATCTACTTTAATTCTGCCATCTGACAACACTTCACTTCCAACTTTCTTCAAGAACAATGCTAATGCTTCTTCACGTGGAAGAGGATTCACAGGTATCACCTTACACTCCATTGCACGAGCAACATCTTGTAACCGTGTCGTGAGTACTAACTTGCAACCATTATTTCCAACTAGATTAGGAATTCCAACATCTTCTAGAGAGAAAGGCTGCCACATATCATCCAAAATTAGCACAAAGCTGTCCTGCCTTAACTTTTGTGAAATCATTCCTGCATTCTTGGTTACATTCTCAGGATCCTTTAGCTCCAATGCTGGTTCTAAGCTACTTGCAATCCTCTTTTGAAACCTGCGAACATCAAACTCCTTTTTTTGCTTGACAAAAATGTCAAAGTCTCTTGACACTTTTACCCAAATAACTTTGTTAAATTTGGATTCTTTCAACAGTTGGTTGTGGACTTGCTTCATAATTGTTGTCTTGCCCACACCACCCATTCCCGAAACTGCAATTCTTATAACCTCGTCTCCCTTCAACCATTCCAGAATTTGATCTTGTACATCATCCCTGCCACTGCATTCATCAACGACTAGTGGAACTCCTTTGATTGAGTGATCATCTACAACCAAACTCTCACCAGCATTAGTGTATTTTTCTCCTTGCCCAAATGTTTGCTTTAATTCTTCAGTCTTTTTCTCGAGGTTGGGTGATGAGGAACGTTCCCCTGGGCTGATCAGGTCTTCAACCTTTATAGCAATTTGTTGGCTTGCTTTCTCCATCCAGTTTCTAACTTCCTGCCTTGCAATCTTTCCTGGCATACACTGTGTCTTCAACTTTGCCTCAATGTCTTCCTGTCGGAGCTTCAGCTGCTTCTGCATCTCTTTGAATATTTTCTTGCAATGCTCAATTAAGTGATCATCTACAACCAAACCCTCACCAGCATTAGTGTATTGTTCTCCTTGCTCAAATGTTTGCTTCAATTCTTCAGTCTTTTTCTCAAGGTTGGATGTTGAGGAACATTCCTCTTGGCTGATCAGATCTTCAACCTTTATAGCAATTTGTTGGCTTGCTTTCTCCATCCAGTTTCTAACTTCCTGCCTTGTAATCTTTCCTGGCATACACTGTGTCTTCAACTTTGCCTCAATGTCTTCCTGTCGGAGCTTCAGCTGCTCCTGCATTTCTTTGAATACTTTCGTGCAATACTCAATTGAGTGATCATCTAAAACCAAACTCTGACCAGCATTAGTGTAATTTTCTCCTTGCATAAATATTCCATTCAATGCTTGAGTCTTTTTATCGAACTTTCTTGATGAGCAAATATATGTGAAACAACCCCCTTTACAAATCATATCTTCAACCACTGATTCGGCGGTTTCTTGGTCTGCCTTCTTCAACCAAGCTTCCACTTCCCCATTTGGAATCTTTCCGGGTTGCTTTCGCTGTGTCTTCAAGTTTGCGTCAATGACATTTCGTCGGTGCTTTAGATTGTCTTGCATTTCTTTGAATTCACTGACATAATCATTGTGACGCATCTGATACTTTACATACTTCTTAACTTCAGGGCCAACATCCTTCACAATATCAATGACTGATGTTATGATATCCATTAGGTAGTCCTGCATGTATGAAATTGTTGGGTATAAGCTAATTGTGCCTTGAAAACTTAAATGACCCTAGGAAACAGATCATCCAATTTATAAGACGAGCAAACAAGGATAAGAATTAAAGTATTTGGGGAAAAACAAATTGACTTGGAAATTAATGGGGGAATTACTATGTATGACTAATTTAAGTATTTGATCTTTATAAATTTAGTACTTCTTATAATTTTTAAAATAATTTTCAAAATAAATTT